ACAATTTGGATGTGGAATGATTTTTTTTAATTAATACTACAGTATTAATATGAACCATCTACACACACACTTTGACACACACACACACACACACAGACGCGCGCTCGGGGTGCGCAAATCCTCCATCCTCCTCCATTAAGGCGCTGGACTGAAACGCTGCTTTTAATTCCTCCTTGTTTTAAAGTGAAGCTGCTCCTAATGAGAGGCTGCTTTCATTCATTCACAGGCCCGTGCAGGTTGGAACACGTGTGGATCACTTGATGATAATGGGGAGTTTAATAGAGCTCCTTTTTTTTCTCCCCCTTTGGCTGCAGTAGCAGTAAAAACACACGCAGAGACATTTAAACCGCATTGGAGCCAAGAGGTGCTGCTGCTGCTGCTGCACACAGCCAGAAAGTTGCACGGGAAAAAAAAAAGAAAAAAGAAATCACATTCAGTTTGTTCCATTAGTTAAACCTATAATTAAGCAGCTCCTTGAAGTGATTAAGCAGTCAGACAAGTCGGACGGGCGGAATCCCTCCAGGGAGGCCTCTCCTGAACTGTCAAACATCAAAAAACCGGTTCATCCCAGTGTCACAAAAACACCTTCAGCACCGCTCAACACGCCTCAAAACCCTGCTGCTGCTGCTGCTGCTGCTGCTGCTGCTAGAACCACAATAATAATAATAACAACAACAACAACAACAAGGGGAAGAGAAGGAGTGAAAGTGGTCAGAGTGGAGCAGCTTTACTAGATCGATTAGTCCAGCCTATCAACACTATTGATTAGTGAAATGTAGGATTCAAATTTAGTGAAATAATTTTTATAAAATTGATCTTAATGAAGACACTTAAATAATATTATTTTTTATCGTATTGACTCTAACGCCCCCGCAGCACCTACACACTGTTCTGTTATTTCTGTCAATAAACCTCCAAAAGCAGCAGATTGATGCGGTTGAAGACAGATTGTCTTTATTCGAAACGTCTTTGCTCAGCACTTGAACAAAGAGCAGGAGGTATCAACCTTCTGGATACATTATCCTTTCCATAACATGACAGGTTTTAAATTACCATCTTAGATAGAAAATACACATAGAACTCCTTGAATTCAAATAGAAGTTATCCTCAACAAAAAAAAATCAAAAATCAAAACAAAAACAAAAAAAAAACATAAAATAAAAAACCAAACTCAAATGACGCGTGTGACTATATTAGCACTGAACCACAGGAAAAATGCAAAATCAAACATTTGGATGTAAATGATTATTTTAGTCATAATAAATAGACCGTCTGGTTGTTTTATGCGCCAATTTTCTTTTCTTTTTTTTTTGTAGTTGTTGTTGATAAATATAAACAATATAACCCGTATATAATCCAGCCTATATGTCCTGATTTGGACCCAGAACAAGGTGATAAAATTGCCAGAAATGTAGACTACTCAGGCCTATACAGGGAATATGAACGCTAATTGTGCAAGCCAATTTATTTTTTTTTCTTCTCAAATAAAAGCCTATCGATAATCAACACAAATCAGCATATCAGCATTGAAATGTACACAATAAATAAAGTTAAAGGCCTCCTTTTTCTGGCTGCCATAAACGTTATAACATTTACATTTCTTACAGTTCACAGGGCTCCGTCCTTTACACCAAACTCCAGCTCTGCTCAGGCAGGAACTTGTTGGAAAAGTTTGTTTTTTCTCGCTCTTTTCTTTTCTCTCCTCTTTTTTTTTTTTTGATTCGCCATAACAAGTCCAAGGCAGTTAACACTGTTCATGCCTTTTTAAATGGGGCGCGCTGTCCATAATATATTTACATGCATTTCAGTATTCAAGTGAATTAAAAAGGGGGACAGAGTCTTGAGGGTTACATGGCAGTGGCGTGTGCGGATGAATATGGGTCTATCCCAGTCTTGGTCATACCTGGAAAAAGTATGTAGGCCACCGGGGGCTGTAAACTTGACGCTGACCAGGCTGTGCAGTTACACGGGACGACGTAGCCCGGGTTCGTGGGCGACGGGTGGGTGTGGGTGTGCTGACTGGGGCACCCGAGGGTGCCGAACGCGCCGTTCTGGTATCCCAACGAGGACGCGTACGGCAAAGTGCTGGTGCTCAACGTGTGCGGCATCTCCGTCATCTTCTGGATGGCGCTGGAGCTGAACTGGCTCGGGTCGAGGAAGGAGTACGGGGCGGACGTCGGCGGCAGGAACGCCCGGGCTTTCTCCGACGAGCCCAGCAGAGAGTCCGCGGCCGACACGGGCAGCCCCTTCAAGTGGTCGGTGTCCCCGAGGTAAGGCAAAGGGAAAACGTAGCGGTCCTTCTTGAGCAGGTTCTTGGGTTTGCGCCGGGGTCGGTACTTGTAGTCGGGGTGCTCCTTCATGTGCTGAGCCCGCAGCCGCTTGGCCTCGTCGATGTACGGTCTCTTCTCGGACTCGGACAGCAGCTTCCACTCGGCGCCCAGCCTTTTGCTGATCTCCGAGTTGTGCATTTTGGGGTTCTCCTGAGCCATTTTCCTCCTCTGGCCCCGGGACCAGACCATGAACGCGTTCATGGGTCTCTTGATGTGATCGGCGGGCTTCGACATCTTCAAAACTGTACTTTTATCCCCGATGTTAACGACGAGGAGAAAAGTTTCTTATCTCAAGGAAGGAAAAAAGGAAAGGAAAGGAAGGGAAACTATTCACCTGTGAAGATGCCAGATACCAGTCATGCCACGGCTGGGGATGTTCAAGAGTCTGGTGGGAAAAAAAACAGAGCGGAAATAAAAAATAAAAAAAAGAAAAACAAAAAAGAAAAATAAAAAAAAAATCCAGCGGCCGGTTCTCGGCTTCTCCGACCGTGTTGGAGCAGCGCAGCAGCAGCTTTCGCCTAAGTCCACTCACAACTCTGTGTCAGACCTGCGGCAGGAAAAAACACACACATGCGGGATGCGCACACGTGAAAAATCCACAAAGGTGAAAGCGATGTTCCGCAGTCAGTTTGCAGAAGTCGTAAAAGTGTTCGGTGTTATTTTTTTCCTCTCTCCTCTCTCTCTCTCTCTCTCCTTCTCTCTCTCTCTCTTTCTCTCTCTCTCTCTCTCTCTCTCTTTCTCTCGCTGAGGTTTGTCGTCAAGCACCTGGCTTGGAAATGAGCGGAAGAGCGTGAATACGAGCCAAAAGCGGTGAAGTTCAAAGGCTGGGCTGGTTTGGTTTCTGCACGCAATCTGACATAATCTGCAGGGCGTTCACTCACCAACCTGAGCGCCCAATCAGCACGGAGAGCGCCCAGTATAATACCTCCAGCCCAAATATATGTACATTACAACATAAACAAAGAGCGGCTGCTAGTAGAAGAAGAAGAAGAAAAAGAATAAGAAGAGTGTGTGTGTGTGTGTGTGTGTGTGTGTGTGTGGAGGGGCAGGATCCCTCCCTGATTCCATGTAATGTAATGAATCGCAACAAACATGAACCTTCAACCTTTTTTTTTTTTCTCTTCCCAGTTCACTTCAATCCAGAGAGGTGCAGCCAATTTACTGTGCAGCCACACACACACACACACACACACACACACACACACACACACACACACACACACACACACACACACGAATACATATGGAGTTTGATTATTTTTGTATTATTTTGAAAAGTGCAGCACCACCACAGCTCCTCCTGCTACTGTTAACATTAATGACATCAACTATAATAAAGACAACATCCATCAGAAATAACTCCTGATAACAATCTTAAATATAGCTTCACTATTTCTACTCTAATTTTTTTTAAAAATAAAAAACCTGCATCCTCCTTCACAATAAAACAAACACAAAAAAAAAAGAGGCCTTGGTTGTGAAACCTCAACTGACACAATTACAAACATGAAGAAAATATTACATCAACTACACACGTTCAGAAATCATTATTGTGAGCCTGTAATTGTTGCATTAGTTCACATCAATCTGACAGTGTGGTTTTTAAGGAGGCGCAGAGTGATGGTTTTAAAATGCAAATTTCCAATGAGGACCACAGCCTAATAGCCCTCGGGCTAATGTGCGTGATATATGATTCCTTCAGCTTTGATTATTAAACGAACAGAGCGCGCACACACACACACAGACACACACACACACACTGGATACTGAGAGTCGTCTCTTGTTAGTTACACTGCTAAGTAGATTTATTTAAGGTAGTCTGTGGCCTATATTTCTATATGTGCGGATGTTGTGGGCCTCTCTCCTCCTTCCTGTCGCCACATCAACACTATTTCTAATGTGACAAATAAAGAAAGTACTTTAATGGTATTTTCATTATGAGCTATATATTTATTTTCCAAGATTACCATATTTTTTTCTTTCCCCCTGCGGGCTAACAACGCTGAACTGAAATTATTTCTGCGCCCCAAACGAGAACTAAACAAGAGTTTATTTTTCCCACATTTCAGCTCCATCTGCGTCTCTTTCTCACGCTCCCTCTCCGCTGCCTCCCGTCTGCTGCTCACACACGCATGCGTCAATCGGCAGCTGAACATTTCCATCATATCTTTCTTTACAAAAACCTTGAAATTATCGTTTAAAAAAAATGCCCATTTTGCCAGAAAGATCCTCCTCACCCCGACCCAGAGAACAATCCAGCTGAGGACGCCCCCGACTCTTTTTTTTTTTTTTTTTTTTTACTCCCAATACAAGCGCCGACCGGATGACTGCAAAGAAAAAAAAAAGAGAAAAGAAATAGCTCCTGAAATCCTCCCAGTCGGCAGGCTGTAGGCTATGATGTTCATCTGCGACCACGAGGTAGTATGCTGCATGTTTGCACTGTATATTTCGGCTTGCATTGAAGTTTTAAATTGTGTTATTGCTATCTTTCACAGAGCAGCGTATATATGCAATTTGACATGTAGGCTGCTGCACAGCAGCTTAGGCTTCATTTTGAGATCAGTGAATTAGATAACAGGAAATTATTTTAGGGGCTGAGCCTCCTACTCACCAGGGAGAAGTCAGCTATGTTTCTTATTCAAAACCTGATTGTCTAATAAATGCACGGCTCAAAGTTCCCTCGACAATTTAGCGGGATAATGAGAAATGCAATAGGTTTTCATTTGTCAAGGACTGAGATGATTATTATTATTTCCATCTGCAGCTCCTCTTTAGTTTTCTTTAATATAGTCGTTTGGCACAGTCACTGTCTGAGATTTTTTTATTTTTTTTAAAGAAAAAAAAAAAAAAGAGGCAGGTAATGAATAAAATAGTTTGCACCGGGATGCGCGTCACCGTGTCCAAACTTTACGCACTGAGGAATGTCCACAGATTTGATTGGAGCAGCACAAAAACACATTTGCAAAAAGTGAACACATGTCTGTAAAGGATATATTTGGTTTTAAAAACGACTGTTAAAATGAAGCTGTTAGTATTACTTCTTATAAAAATGACCCGCTGCTGGTTTGGATCTAAATATTACTTTCTGCTGTAATATCTGCTAATTCCAATCACACACAAACACCACACGCGCGCACAGACACACACACACACACACACATAAAAGTGGGATTATCTAAGGACACATGTCCATCCATCTCGCCTTAAAAAGTGAATGGGGAGCGGCCTGACACACAGAGAGCCTATTAGCCAGCTCGGGCTCCCGTGGAGAGCATCGAGGTAAGCTCCCCCACCGTAACTGTCCATGGTGCTGAGGCGGTAAGAGGTTTTCTTCACTGCACACTTGCGTCCTCCCCTCAAAAACTCTTAAAAGCTAGGGTTGACATTTCAATGCCTTTTATTGTATTTCCATCCTATTTAGTGATGGTTCTCTGTAAAAAATAAAATAAAATAGCAGAAACCCGAGACAACTCACATGGTCTAAAACTTTCCTAACTTTTTCTAAGCTTATTTTTTTTCACAGTGTGGAACTGTTGAACCACGTTTGGATTTAAGAAATATTGGCAACAAAAAATTATCACACACACATTTTTATGCTGCCAAAAAAAAAAATGCCTTTACTCCAGCATCAGTGAGAGGACATTCAATCTCTGCATGTTGGGAAAAAGCATCATGTATGATGTTGTAGCCTCTAATTATTTCTACATTTCTGATGGTAGATCAACACTGTACCACACAGTCAGAAGTTAGCCATTTACACTCATGCGTCAAGAATTATTCTGTACTTGCAGCTCTCACTGAAAATTTCTGTGCAACACCCAAACCATAAGAACACACACACACACACACACACACACACACACAGAGGCAAACATAAAGATGCTGGAAGTCAAAGAGCGACATAAAATTCACTGTAATCCGCTCAGCAGCCCTGAAACACCTGATTCCTCTACAAAAACATTTTAATGTGAAAACACGTCGCAGCCTCTCTTCAGCCATTTTTTAGAGAATATGCTCAGCCTCTTCCAAAGCTGCAATGATTAGTCGATAAGTTTGTTTAACTAATCGCAAACTATTTCAAAATGAGTCCAAACTCTCTGATTTTTAGCTTCTTAAATGTTTTTTTTTCTTTCTTCCTCTATCACAGTAAATTAAATATCTTTGGGTTGTGGAGAAAACAAGACCTTTATCACTGAGCTTTGGGAAACACTGATGAATATTTTATGACATTTTAAAAAATCGTACAACTGATTATTAAATCGAGAAATTATTCAAAAGATTTATCAGCGGCGGAAATAGCTGTTAAGTTGCAGCTCTGGCACCTTGGCAGACTGAAATGTTCATGGTTAAGGCGTTTGTCCCTGACGATGACACAAAAATGTTATACTTCTACTGTTGATAATTATACTTGCAGTGTTAAACACAAAAAGGCTTTTTCACACTGACACAGAAGCAATTCTAAAACTCTGCACAGCATCCTGCGGATCTTTTTACATTATCCCTTTACAAGCACCATTCAGTGACACTGAGAAGCAATCAAAACAGCAATGAGCCGCATTTGAGCTGTACCGCCAACATGCGGACTATATTACAGAAAAGAGCCGTATATATCATATCTTTGTGGTGAAATAATTTCCTAAGAAGATAGTGAAATGAATGAAATTTAAAATGACTGAACTTAAGCTGCTCTCCGCTTTTATTCTGCAACACTGGATAATACAGAACAGAGCAGGAAAAAAATTAACAGAGGTTCAAGGCGTCAGGTAATAATGAAAGGATAGGGCCAATACTTCAAAGACCACGAGGTCCACATCGCACAATTATACAATACAATTAGGATTAAAGGGGCAAAACAGAGATAACAGGAGATAGGGATAAATTATCACAAAAGGAAAGATGTGACTCTCTCCTGACCTTCATTAAGAGAAAAAAACTCATTTAGAGCTGGCCTTCCTTGCAGGGGGATTTCAGCCTTTCACATGAGACTGTGACTCACCAGATAAGATTTACCAGCATAAATGAGAATCTGAACTGCTCATAAACAATAACATAAGATGTACAGACAGAATAACACTATAGAATAAAAAGCGATGCACATGTATATTAACTATATATTTTATTACTGCCTCACATTCTGCTTAAATTCTGCTCCTGTCAAAGTCGCTCCATAAGTTGACATTGTGAGGTTGTTGACTGTTACTATGGTAACAATGGTGCAGAAAAAATAGTTTCTAAGTGTTGGACCTTAAAAAAAAGCATCCAACAAACATGAGGTGGTAAACAGATAAACTCTTGACCTTTAGATATCTTGATCATTCAGTAGGTGTTGAGAAACTTCAGCCTCCGACCCCCGAAATAATGATGCAAAAGCCCCCAACTACCACCAGCAGTGGTTTTAACAGTATTACACACGAATAGGCCGAACATAGAAGAACATTATTTTACAGTCATGTAATGCAAGCGAGTAGCAGAATTCATCAGTCAAAGCAAACTCCATGTATAAACTGTGCCACTGAGTAAATACACAGTGAGCAGGAGCAGCAGTGGGACAAGCAGTGTTTAACTCCTGTTTTT